CCAGTTCTAGGGCTCCATCTAATTCAGCGCAAACTGTTCTACCTTTCTAGAAACTGCGATTTTGAAAGGCTTGCAACCTCGCCGCCGCGCTGTGCAGCCGACACCCCATCTGACCGGCGAACCTCGTCGACATTCGCAACCACACTTCTTGACTTCAGCACTCATATCCAGTAATTTGTCCATGAATATTCACGGATTATTTCTTCGTCATCGTCGTTATCACTCTCTCACTTTTTAGTCTCCGGGGGGCTAAAGATACCCTGTAGTTATAGCCACTCATACATTTTCAGCTGAGCCCTATCTTTTTTTAGCCATGATCACCGGAAACTCGGATGTGCTGGTCATCTGTTAAGCTCCATAGGCGGATCCAGCAATTTGGCAAACCAGATTTCCTCCATTCAAACCTATGTTAAGTAATCGATTCTTGTCGGAGCACCTACCTAGCCCCTCTGGGAATCGATACATTTCCATAAGTTTAAATGGAGAAAAAAACAATGTTGACAATTTGCTGGGAGCCGCCAATGTTAAGCTCCCAGAACAAGTTTTTCATGACATCTCAGAACATTTTGTTAGAGGTGCACAAAGAAATCCTTTTTCAGCCATTCAAAAAAAAGAAGAGGTGAAAAGGTTAAGAAATATTTTCTTCGGAAAATACACTAAAAAGTTTAGCGGCTCTTACGTCAAGAAATTTCGACGCAATGGATTGGTGTTACTTTATTTCTGCCTTCAAACTGCTTTCACTTGCATGATGTCCATCGCATGTTTATAAACCAAATTGCAAAAAAGCACTTTTCGCACAGAAAATAGTTTATGATGGGAAGGGATTTATATTGGGATTGCTTATCATTAAATGAAAAAGTTGTATTATGGCCTGAATAAGCAGCGAGACTCTTCGCAGCTGCTCGTGACAATAACAATATTCCCAACAATTATCTTTCCTTGACGGATCTTAGTGTATGGGACGCACATCAGGTCAAAGCTGGATATTTTATCGTCAAAAACCAGCAGCATAGTGTATGTGACGATGAGATCTTCAAATCGGTTCCGTAGATTCTTCCATGCACTTTAGCTTGGAACGCCTTCATTACAACGTGATGCCCCACGCTTTGCTCCGCAGTTAGTTTAGTTGATTCGTCGACCGGAACCCAATCGCACTATTTAAACAATTACATATCCTGTCGGCGAAAACAATGGTCAGAACACTTTCAAACACCTTTTTACACCCTAGTTTATCGGGCATCTTAATTTAATGATTCGATTCTGTATCCACGTTTTGCTTTTAACTATCACAGAACTTGTACTAAGTTGCGAAACGGGACACGCAGGAAGTTAAATTTAAGGCGATAAAAATGTCAATTTTTCATCGCGATAATATTTTCCGAGTAAAAAAATTTACGCGCAACGGTGGCTCTTGGATTAAAACAGCATCATTTATCGACGCAAATGACGAAATTATTCACATTGGTGAACGGAGAGAAAAAAGCGTCGCGTCATATTAATGGCTTGTCTGACAGTATGATACGCGAGACACCCTGAAAATTTTCCTGCTGACTACGTTCTCCAACACCAAGATCTTGGCTTCTTGTATCAATTTATCTCATGAAAAACCATTTTTCGCATTCAAATTTTCACAAGGAGGTAGTGCTTTTCCAGCGCACATGTGAATAAAGACTTCTCTGTGATTATGCGCACAGCCTATCATGAGATTTTTGGCATTTATTTGTAATTTGCTGGAATATGTAATTGTAATTGCCTCCTGTGGTGTAGTGGTTGCAGCACTTGCTCTATGATCGGGAGGTCCCGGGTTCGATTCCCGACCAGGTGACCCGAGTCTGATGGTCTCATAGTCTCAAAGAACGGTTACCTGGGGCTGGCTTTATTAAAGACGGAGGGGGATGGGACTCTAGGGACGGCAAAACGCAGGATTATGCCTCGTGGGATATTTGAAAGGGAGAAAAAAAAATATTCAATTATTGATCAGCCCATAGATACTCTTGTAATACGACGCAACGCAAACTTAGAGATTCCCGTCACCTTTAGCGCGTTATGCAATACAAGCACGCTCCTTTAAGAACGTATTTCGCTCATCTTTTTTATCCTGAAAAGTTGGCGTTTGTGCGACGATGAACTGGAAGGTTGCGTGCGTGGGAGTGTCGGAGGCTCATACCTTTTTTTTACGGTACAGCGAAGGCGTCGTCGCACAATAGAGGTCAGACAAAATTTGGAAACTTTGAAAGCTCATAATTCCGTCCAAGCAAAACTCTGAGGCTTTAAACGTGGTTCCATTGGTTTCCTCGTCAAATTTCCTCCAGAGACAACCCTTACAATTTAAAATGCGACGAATTAAACATCAAAATTTGCAGTTTTAGTCAAAAATGTCATGTCCGACCGCTCCGCTTGACCGGGTCCACTGTGCGTCGTCGCGTCGGAAGTTGACCAAGTCCCGGTTCCCGGACCCCACCGTTCCGTCCCCTCCCGACCTACCGCTCGGGATGTCCCCTTGTTGAGCTTTAAGGAGGGTAGGAAGAAAAGCGAGGACCCTCCCTCCTTCGCACCGCGAAAGTAAACTCCTGAGGCAGCCTTTTTATTTCAACTAAGGGTTGGAAATTAATTTTTGATGACGTCAAGCGAGACCAACGGAGGCGTTGCTAGGCGAGCGTCACCACTCGTGGTCGAGTGCGCCCACCGCGAACCCGGCGTCGCATCGTGTTATTCACGGGTAATTTTCAACTGGACGTATTTCTATCAAACGGACATATGTGCATTAAAACATGAGCCCTGAGACCCATAAGAATACATGCATAACAGGGCTCACGTCATAATGCACATGGTTCCGTTTGACAGAAATACATCCAACTTATCCCCTTTTCGCAGACCATCGCTTAAAAATAAACACGGATTTGATCCGTGGACTAGATAAGTTTTATCGGTCCCTTCGCACGGTGCAATATCCCTAAGGAGTGATTTCCTCTAATGTTTTATTGATACTGCGAAAGCACCGGCGTAATATGAGTACATCTTCCGTTACTTACTGTCAATCGCTTCTTATACCGACGCACAGTGGATCGAGTAAGTTAGAGAGGTCGGACATGAAGTTTTTATCTAAAACTAAATTTTGACGTTTATATCGCCGTATTTTAAATTTCAAGGGGTGCTAATGGAAAAAAATTTCACGAGGAAACCAATGGAACCACTTTTAGAACCTCAAAGTTTTGTATAAATGGAGTTATAAGCGTTTAAAGTTTCTAAATTTTATTCGACCTCTCCCATTGACTCGATCCACTGTGCGATGGTGAAACTGCAAGTATGCGTATCTTGGTTGCGGTGTTCCAAAATCTCCACTGTCATTCTATTTTTTAAAATGATACCCAAACGACATCACGGTTCGATTGTCACAAAATTTTCCTCGCACAGAGGAAAAATATCACCCAAGTTTAAAGTAATGAAATAAGTGGTTTTCCATGTAGAAAACACAGCATGACCAGAAGTCTGCAATGCCGTAATCACATTTCTGCAGTTTCACCATCGATACGTATATTACACCCAAAAAGTAATTTCAAATCGAAATGCCAAGCGCGGGAATGTTAAAATTTTATTCATTTTGATTGCGCATACTCCCATGCAAGAGCACATTTTGAACGAGTAAGTTAAAGGATGCGATTCTATCGGGGGAAATTTCGCATATATTTATCAAAGATTTCTTTAGATTGGTTCCTCTTTGTGGTGATATTTCCATTCACCGTATCTAGAAAAGCAGAAAAACGAGACAAACAAAATCCTCTACCTGTAACACTCACATTATAATGAATTACTTTAAATACGCAGGAGGTATTTTAAATACTGCACCGTGACAATGTGCAGTTTTTCAGCAAAATCATTTTGGTCTCGAACTGGGATCCTCGGATTTGACTGATGGACCTCAATATCATCACGATCAAAAGAAAGTTCATCATTTTCTTTGTTTAAGTCGAGAAACTTAAAAACAATCCATTTTGACACTAAGATTGCGCAGATGCACTCAGCGCAACGACTTGCGGCTTAGTTCGCCTTCAAATGAGCGTGATACCACGCATTACCCCCGCGTTAGAATAGTTGCGTATACGATTCGAGCGAGGAGCCACCTAGCAATCGTGGCCCGAATAAGATTGGAAGTGGTGGCTGTCGGTGTTGGCACGGCAAGCTTACATGAGAATCTAACGGAATGAACTTAGAAAGCTATCGTTTGTTAAAGGGCGTTTTTTTAACTAAACAGGGTCCGAGTTAATTAAAAGTTTTTTTTTAAAAGATGTTATTTTACTGAAACTTAGGGGTAATATTTAAGCTTGTCGCTCTAAATCGTCAGAATGAATCTTTTTGAAGCTTTATTGGAGCTTTTTTGAGTGCTTCATCTTCATATTTTTTGGTTTAATTTATCAATAAGTATCGTCCCTGGTGAACGTGAACCATTTCTACGCTGATAGTGAATGAAACATAGAGAAAAAAATTGCTCCCTGCAAGCTAATTTCACTCCTTTTACTTATCCCCAAAGAGTCATTTTGAATCATCACACATTTGCTATACTATTTTTATTATTATGTATCCTTTATTTACTTCATATTTACGTTGAGGTACGAATGAGGTACCTCTTATCGTGGGCACAAACAGCAATACGCCCTAGCGATAATGAGTGGTGGGGGAAGGGACAGTATGTCAGTAAGTTTAAAGTATGTACACGTTTTACATATTTACGCGCCACAGAATGATAGCAATGGGGGGCTAATAACACATGTCTTAGAGGAGTTGCTCCTTTTATTGGTGAATTACTATACTTAAAAAAAAAAAAAAAAAAAAAAAAAAAAAAAAAAAAAAACACATTGTTTACTTTTAATACCTTTTTCCGAGTTTGGCTTTTCTTAGGTGCGCCTTCTGAAATTCAGGTAAGAGCTAGTTTAATTTTGTATTGTCTGTTTTTTCTTTCTACTTGATGCGACGTTTCTAATGCGAAATCTCTCTTGTTGCAGAGCAAACTCAAGAACAGTTCCTCTGAAACAAGTCTCCAAGACTTCATCGCAAATCCCAGTCAAAACGAAGGGGTCCGCAATGACTTTACCGCCCAGAATGAGTCGGGCAAGGAGAAAAAAATCCAAGAGTTGGCCCAAGAATTTGTCCAGCAAACGACTCCCACCCTCCAATGTCCGATTTCAGAGCAATTGCAGGTAAGCTAATTTGATGTATTTCTTTCCGACTGAAGTTTTCCTCTTTTTTTTCGATTTCAATTTTTCGCTTGAGACCCAAGTAGTACAGATTGCAATACATAGCAATTACGTAGGTAGTAAAATTATAGCTATTGCATCGGAGTTTTGTGTATGTTGCCTATCTACTGATTGAAAGCATACGGCTTGTTAAAATATATTACAATAAGATAGAAATAAGTTGCTATTTTTCATTGTACTGCACAATGCCAATCTTTCTGACGCATGGAACTCACTTTGCTGATTGTTTAAAATCGGCATTTATCGACCAAATGATGAAAGAATTTTCAGCTTTTATGGTAAAAAAATCACGATTTTAATTCAGTAAATCGCAATTTTACTTCAATATTTTCATCGCACTGCATGTGCTACTTGGACACTACTCACTGCTGGGCGCAATGCTTTCGTCCTCGAGACAGAAATGACGACTTTTTCTGGCGAAAGGAACGTTTATTTTTTTCCGATTTTCCTCAGTTTTATTTTGTGATTTTCTTCGATTTCAAATATCTCCTGTTAAAAAACTCTCATGTTAAATATTAGAATGACTTAGAGGAGGGATTTAGTTAGTAGCCGTAGCTTCTCGGAAGGAACTCATTGTTAGCCGGAATACATAAGCTCTGCTAAGTGATAGAGACATTGTGGGCCAACTGATAATGTTCCGCTTATCATATCAAATTAATCACGTTAATCTCAGTCAGCCCAATTGTGCTCTGTTCAGTTTGAACTCAATTTTTCAGTAACGATTCTCTAGTATTAGCGCCTATTGCATTCGAAGGTGTGTGTGTGTGTATGACGCTAAAATTTTTGGCAGGCATTCTAAACTGCGAATTTTGATGAAAGAGAGAGTGATGAAGCGTATCTGATTTTCCCAGGAAACCATTATATTCGCCTTCAATGTACAGAGTAGGCAAACATCAGTCCACAGGGAACCGAAATATTTGTTTTCACTTTTGAACCGCGCCATACGAGTATACATTAAAGTTCCAAGTGTTTAGTCACTTTAAACCAACAATTTTCAAAATGCCATATAAATTGGACCGCGTTGAGCAGAAAGGAACCAAGTCACATCCGATATTGCCGAATTTAATTGAACAACTCAATTTTTACATGAAAACGATTGTGCGGATTTTTGTGCAAATTTCAGTATATTTCCTGCGTAGTACGAAGCAAATTCCTTAAAAATTTCAAAGGGATCCGCACAAGCGTTCTCTTGTAAGCAATTTAATCGCCCCGTTCAATTTGGCAATAGCTGATGTGATGTGGCTTGGTTCCTCTCTGCCAAACGCGGTCCAAGTACGACTCGAATTTTAAGAGTACAAAAATTTCAGCACTTGGTAGAAAGGCTCCTCTGAAAACTTCACTTTCCATTGACAGGGTGTCTACCAGTTATGAAAAACCAAAATTGGAGATTTTCGGGGACTTATAGGGAAGTTTTTTCAAGAAAATTGAGGACTTTTTTCCGATATAGTAAGAGAAAGGGAGTTAGTTAGAGCACTAAAAGACTTATATTAATGCGACTAATTTTCCAAGTCATGTTGAACCCACGAAAATATACGAAAAATCAAGCAACCCGTCAGTGTTTTTATTCCTGGTTATACCGCGCCGCGCCGCCACGGCTGGCGGGAAAATTTGAAAATGCCAGTGTTGAGGACCATTTTTGTCATATTTTGGGGACCTAAACAAGAAAATTGGGGACTTTCGGGGATATCGGGGACACCCTTCCAAAATCGGGAATAATCGCGGACTTTTGGGGACCGGAAGACACCTGATTGAGTTCCCTTTGAATTCCGTCTCATTTTAATTTTTATGTGGCTTAATTTTATGTCCTGTGTTAATGTTGATAGGTCATCAACGAGGAGGATCTTGCTGCAGTGTTGCCAGACGTCGAGGGAAGCGGGAGCCTAGAAGGTTTCGTCTCGCTTAACACTCGCAACAACGACTCCCCATCGACTCTGATCGAGAGTTTGGACGGGGCGTACGGTGGCGTCAGCGTGGCTCTCAACTTGTCTGGGCCCGTCCAGATCTCAGAGGGGGCAACAGCTCCCCCTGCCCCCTCCAACGCCCAAAATCCTCATCAAAATGGTGCTCATTACTCCCCCCTCGCCACCACTGAGAGGGTGAGTATATTTAACATACCTCACTTCGGGCCTCCTCCTGCCTAATTAAATGCCCCATGGTCATTCTGCCGTGCTAAGGAAGAACGCCGTATGAACCTTCAGGCGTTGCCAAGTTTCCTTCGACAAAAATTCAATTTACTAGGAAAATAGTGAATATTTTCCCCAAATTTTTCAGACGATTCTGTATGTAATTTAATCTAAAATACCTGAAAATTCCAAGGAAAAATATGCACAAATGTCGTCAAGAATGCATTTTTTACCAAGGGAAATTTGGCAACGCCTGAAGGCTCATACGGCGTTTTTCCTTCGTACGGCAGCATTGTGCCAGTTCATCGAGAGCTTAGTTCGATGGAAGAATATTAATTTTTGAGATTAGAACTTAATTGATTTTGCCGCATTAGTGCCACTATTTCAACATTATCGCGTCGATCGGTTCAAGTTTCTATTTTTCGATCGATTCATGTCGATCGAATCTACACCATTTTTTCAATAATTTTTCGATCAAATCGGTATCAATCGATACACGTTTTTACTTTTCGATAGATTCATGTCGATCGAATCATACGTTTCGAAAGAGTTCATTGTTCATATTAACTTCATTTTGCAATTAGGGACCACAATTTCTGGTTTTGTTTGGGAACAACGTGTGCACCGTTAGTTTCCTTATGAACACGAGTGTTTTTAAGAATGAGCCAGAAACTGTAGTTCCGAAAAGCTAAATGTAGTCCAAATAATCACGTCATTACATTACTGCGTAACGAGGGAGTCTACACGTAAAAGTCGTTGCACACTTCTATTTAAAATTATTTATAAAAATGTGTAAATGAAGTGAAGAAAATTAGTTGGGTTTTATGAAATGTTTCATCATTCGAAATTACAATAATTCCAACAAACTTCAAAATCCTAAGGTGAAAACCGCTGACTACGCAAGTTTGAATAATCGCGTCAAACCCAGAGCGGCCGGCGCACGGTGGATCGAGTCAATGGGAAAGGTCGGTCATGGAGCGTTGCGCTCCCAATGTTACGAAGATAACGAATATTCCTGGTCATTTGATCGGTTAAGTACCACTTATCTTATGTAATTTTTCGCGTAGAATTCATTTTTGATGTTATTTTTGGTGAAAAACGTACCTGAAGACCCGTATTTGAGCATTTTGTCGGGAAAACTATACAGGTGCAAAGTTTAGGCGTCTGTGTTTTACTTTGTAGGACGGAGTTTTTAATTTTTCATGATGGAAGAGGATAAATTATGAATAAAATTATGAAAACTTACTAATAAGTGTCACAAATACGCAAAAATACCTCCCCGGTTATGAGCTGCTGCATCAGATAAATCATTCCCTTCACTGCAAAGTTAATTTCTAAACTTTGTCATAAGATATCATTCTTATGCATAAAGATCGATGAGAAAACAAATGAAATACATTTATGAATTCTTTGAAAATATTCAAGATCACTTTTACTTTAAATTCATATTTACATTCAGAGGACGGAACAGGGACTTAGGGTAGGAAAAACACTAGATGGCTGGGAAAAAAAAGAAAAGAAAAAAAAATTTAAACATGTAACAGTCATCTGTCATCTGCTTCTCCTTATTCTTCTTCTTCATATTCAGTTCCCCATCACTCTCATCCTCGTCTTCCGCTCTCAAACCGCATCAAACTTAAAAAACAAGCAACGCAAAAAACCGCAAAAATTCCAAAATTTCCCTTACTTGTAACGTTAAAACGTACTCGCAGTGTAATTAGTTTCGCACTAACTGCACTTTGTTTACATCGAAATAGGTGAAAAATTAAAAAATATGTACGTATCTAAAGAAGCATCAGTTATCGGAGTTCACCAGTGACCGGTAGCGCGCGATCGCGGAGGCCAACAGATAAAATGGCATCATAGTCAGGGGCCAGGCAAGTAAAGGGGGGGACGGTTACTTGCTAAAAGTTTCCTCAAGCTATCTACGCATACGTCCCAAAAAAGCTTTCTATAAGGGATATAAAGGGATGTCCGAGTGAAAATATGCCCGATTTTTTTTTTAGTTCGCCTATAGATATGTAGTTTAGGAAATAATGAAAATACGAAAAACGGGCCACAGAGCACTTGGCACACCTTGATGGTGAAACTTGTTTTTCAGTTTCCGATGAACAGGAATCATACCTACCTGGGTCATTTAGCAGTTACGAGAGTTCACTGGTCGCTTGATTTTCGAGATAAGGCTCGCGCACAATCTCGGAACGCAACAGAAAAAGTGACGTCACGGCCAAAGTGGCGTAAAGTGGCACCCAAATTTTGCGGGATCGTATTCTCAGGACTCCTACGAACATGCCTATACAAATTTTTCTGGCGGATGGTGGCGGATGGGTAGATAAAAGTTTACTTAAACTTTTCTTTTTCGCTTTTTGAGATGAGCACATTAGCGCAAACATAATCATTGAAAAAATGGGCCGAATACAAAAAATTACTAGTGCAATGTGTTCTCCTGACTCTGAAGAACAAGAATATGTCAATAAAACTAGCATTAATTTAAACTGAAGCAAGCTAAGTTCCGCGGCAGCTCACCGGTCGCTTGATTTTCGAGATAAGGCTCGCGCACAATCTCGGAACGCAACAGAAAAAGTGACGTCAGGGCCAAAGTGGCGCAAAGTGGCACCCAAATTTTGCGGGATCGTATTCTCAGGACTCCTACGAACATGCCTATACAAATTTTTCTGGCGGATGGTGGCGGATGGGTAGTTAAAAGTTTACCTAAACTTTTTTTTTTCGCTTTTTGAGATGATCACATTAGCGCAAACATAATCATTGAAAAAATGGGCCGAACACAAAAAATTACTAGTGCAATGTGTTCTCCAGACTCTGAAGAACAAGAATATGTCAATGAAATTAGCATTAATTTAAACAGAAGCAAGTTAAATGGAATAGAAAGACTCGGACGATATTTCGCTAAAATAAAAAGTTACGCAAAGCCCCTCTTTGATGCCTTCTGTCACAAAAATGAACATGTTTCGTTCCAAATCAATGTCAGATCCTTAAAATATAACTCTTGAGGAACACTTTTGACCCTTAAAAAATGCGATTCGCCCGAATCGCCCATGACCGACCTGTACCATTGACTCGATCCACCGTGCGGCGGTGCGGAGCTGGCAGGCGCGCGGCTCTAAGCGCATAGCAACGCCTTACAAGACCGCAGGATACTTCATGCATTGCGCGTACAGTACACGGTGCTCGCAGCGTATATCAGCGCCTTACAAGTCTGCAGGATACTTCATGCATTGCGCGCACAGTACGGTGCACCGTGCGCGCTCTCAAAAAGTCGTATTTTCTTGGTGTCTAGCCTACCCCGATGTTCACCATTTCCGAACAGTGTGCACCGCGAGCTTGCAATCCTGTATGTTTTTCGGTAAAAATGGAATTTACGAGTGGAAATTTTTTCACTTTGAAATGCCGTTACGTTCTATCGTCCGAAAAACGTCGAATTTAGCTAACATCGAGGGAGAGAGATTGGACATTTTTCTTTATTCACAAATGCAGCAAAATTTCCAGGGAGATATTCTTGGTATCACATTCACGCAAAAATGAACTCTGGCATCTGACCTAACTTGCGCAATTTTTGCAAAATGACCTAGGTACACCTATGGCTAATATCGAAAAATTATGGTGGGGGAGCCCACCGCGATATACCGCGATGGGCTGGTCTGTTGGCGATTTCCCGGGCCGCCTCGAAGAGCCAGTCCGCCTCTGTCGTATACTGCCGTGCTAAGGAAAAACGCCGTATGAACCGTCAGGCGTTGCAAAATTTTCTTCGATAAAACACGAATTCCCTGGTATTCTTATGAATATTTTTATTCCAATTTTTCAGAGAATTTTTTTTTTATTCTGATTTAAAGTTCCTAAAAATGTCAAGGAAAAATATTCGTAATTTTTCTCTAAATATACATTTTATCAAAGGAAATTTAGCAACTCTCGAATGTTCATTCGGCGTTCTTCCTTAGCACTGCAGTATAGTCCAGAGATTGCAGGCGTTTTTACTGGCCGCTCTCTGCAGAAGGTAAACTCCCTATCAGTCTGGAGTTTTTTTTTTTTCATTACTATTCAAGCAGATATTTTTAATTCCTCTTATTGATCCCATTTTTTTCTTTACATTGATGTGTTTCAGGCAGAGAATATATCATCGTCAGAGAATACAGACTTGATCAACCCATTGGCTGACAGATGGTTATTGAAACCGTCCCCTGGTTATGAATGTACACCCCTCAGCTCTGAAATAGATTTGTCAGAGCAGAAGTCACCAGACAGCAACTTCAGCTCTTGCAGATCTCTCCGCAGCAGTGTTAAACGCAGGCAGAGCCAAAATCTAGATAGCATCCATTTTGATGGGGAGCAGTCAGTGAAAATCGACTGCTCTGTCTCCCACGTATCGTTGGACTCGGGTTTCGGAGGCTCACCCTCTTACACTAGCTCACCCAACTCTGCTTATTTGTATTCGCCACTATCCGTTGAGACCAAGTCACCATCGTCAAGAGCAAGAGGTTACGAGCTATGTTTCAAAAGGTCTCAGTCTTCCCCGGAACAAAACGAGAAAATGGATGATACCATGCAAGAATCATTATTTACTGAACGCGAGAGTGCAGGAACATCTCAACACTCAAAAAGAAAGGGTGGCCGTAGTAGGAAAAGCTCAGCGACCAGAAAACCAGACATTTGCTCTCTGGTTGAGAAACTCATCTCAATTGAAGAGAGGAGTAAGAAGGTGGTAAAGAAAAGCCCGCATCGGGAGCGAATCAAGAAAGTCCGTCGCTGGTTGAAGTCAGAACGGAAAAAGAAGTATAAAAAAGCTGTCGTGGCTGACTCCAATGTTACCACTGATGTAGATAAATTAATCACTAAATTTAACAGCTTTACTATTGTGGAAAAAAATCCTCATTTAACCCGTGCCTCAAATCATATCATCAAAAGTAAATTTAGGTGAGTACCTCCAAGCATTCTAGCTGCCTTGATAAATTGACAAATTAGGTACCTACTGTCCAAATAATAAATACATGTTCCAACAATATCTGTCATGAACACTTTAAAAATCTCTCAAAATGTTCAAAAAAGAAACTATTTTCTTAATTTCCTGCATACAAACGTGAGTAAATTTTATGCGAGCTGAAAAGGGAACATTTTGTTAGACCCTAAAAGAGATTCACGTTCATGTAACCTCGAAGTACAAGTTCTTACAAAAATCCGTCACTAAGTCCAAACTTAAATAAATTTTATGAAGTTAAGAAAGATTCATCAAGATTAAAAAAAAAAAGAGAAAAAAAATTTAAAAACTCATAGTAAATAAGTTTTTGTACAAGGAAGATGGAATGAAAAATAAAATTCATTCCAAGCTCTTACTTGATGAACGTTTCCTGGAAAATGGGTTCACATTAGATACCCACACAAGGATGAACCTTTAAAACGTTCAATTTTTCACAGATCAGTTGCATTTGCTAAGCTATCACTCTAATTTCTTTTTTTTCCAGTTGTAAGTGCTGCTCAGATAATGATCCTGATAGACCTTTCTCAAAAAGTAAAAAGAAAAAATGGAGTAGTCGAAGAAAGGACACTTCCTCAGAGCAGAGAACGGCGAAACATTTGCTGTTAGGCAAGAAGAAGATGAAAAAAAATATTGATCTTGTGAGTATATGACAACCTGGTTGTTGGTTGTATTAATTGTCATTATTTTTATTCAACTAAAGCTTCAATTGAGACTTGTTTCAAAGCTACAAAAGCATATCTAAGATAGGATGAGCGAGTAAAGAAATCATCGCTAATTTTACAAGGCTCCATACATATAGAAGTAATTTTATCAGATGCAAGGGGAGGGAATACTTGTCCCTTCAGATTATACAGTTTTCACTCCAAATTTTTTATTTCGATGTTGATTTAATTTCTTTAGGAGGACCATTTAAATTCTAAGTTAAGTAAACACGAACAATTTTTTCTAATTTTTCCTTGCAAGTACTGAATAATGCAGAAAGGGATTTTTTCTTTCACCTCATTACTTGACTCAACAGACTTGTATTAAATTTTGTGTATAATTTATACATTTGGGGGAAGGGGGGTCTATTTGGTTCAGCTAAAACAGCAATTTAAAATAACATAGGTAACACACTAAAAAAGCACTAACGGTCGAATATGAGTATTCAACTCAGCCCTGCTGTCATCTTGATGAGAAAGAGAGTGCCTAAAAGACGCAAGTGTACACAAGTGCAATGAGGGGGAAAATATTCTGAGCAATACTTTTTTTAGAAATTTTTGGCCTTCACAATAGTTACATATTTCAATTTCGTCAGACTCTTTTTCTGGAGATTGCTTTATGCTCTCTCTTAGGTGAAATCAGATTACTACTTAAATCTTAACAGTTATCTATATCCTGTGATTTCTTTCTGCTTTTCAGAGGAATGAAAAATACGACAGAAGATTACCGCTCAAAAAACGCCTCTATCGAATAGCAGCTAACTCCTGTACTAAAACGGATTCTGCGGGAATTGCAACTGATGTTGCTCAAGACATCAATGGGAAAACTATCTCTCCAACTATACCAGTACCTGAAGAAAACAAAGAAATTTCTTGTCAATCGTCCTCAGAGAATAGTGATGAGACAAGAATAATTCCAGTAACTCCAAAAAAGCGATTCCAGAACAAACGCCAAAATGTGCCCAACAGCGAGACATTTTCAATCTCTCCTCCTCTAAGAAGTGGTAGTCAATGCAACGATATGATTACACACAGTCAAGTCCAAGTTGATCTAAGTACTTGTAAGCAAACTTTACAAGTAAAACTGTCCAAAATTTCAGATGAAATATGCAAAAAAATGAAATCCGTCACATTACTTCCTTCAAATGATCTCAAAGTTTCTAGCTCGTCTTCGAAAGATCTCAATAAAGTCTCGAAGCATCGGAGAAACATCCCTTCAGCGGAGCAATCAAACCTGAACTTAGAAGTAAAATTCGACCCCATTCAAAACTTAACCAAAGATCTCAACAAATGTGGGACTATTGATGATACAGAAACTTATTCACCAAAAACTGAAGAAAAACAAGTGTCCATACCAAAAGCAGATAGCGATGATAATTGCAGCATTGATCAGAATGATCAGGCCACACAATTTATTAGAAAGACTACATCCGTATCAAATGATTGTCATACTGTCCCTATTGAGAGTGTCACCTCTTCTAAAAATAGGAAAAAAAGGAAACGAACTATTAATAGAACTGGATTCCCAACTAAAAAGAAAAAGAAAAAAAGTAACACTTCTAATGAAACCAACGTTAAAGAAAAAACTTTGTCTACAAAGCTTCATATTGGAAGTAAAGATCCAGTTTGTCACGGAGAAACCATAGTTTTAACTCCATTGACAACAGACAAAATTAAACATTTTCCATCTACTTCTAAATTCTTTCCACAGCCCTCATGTTTCGTCGAGAATGGAAGTAACCTGGTGAATGGTCAACATGTTGTTCCAAATTCAGGCGAAGAAAATGTAAGTTTCCTAGGGACTACTCTTCATCAGCAAATTAATCCTTCGACTCAAAACCGAAGAGTTTCTTTGAGAGCCCGCCCCAGGCAAAGGAGGGATAGTCTCTTGTTAGCTGAAGCTAACAAGAAAAGCTGTGATAAAAAAACCAAACATGAAACACGTCTGCAAGATTTTCATAAATTAATGGAAAGGAGTAAATTAATTATCGCAGAAAAGAAGTATCTAGAAGCTGGACTCTTCTCTGATCAGTTTAAAATCAATGATGTTGAGATTGACAGTTGTTGTGAGCAGAAGAACTGTGAGCTGGATGTCAGCAGTTTGCCATCTCTTTCATACTATGCAGAAAGGGTACGACAAAAAACTGACTTCACCCTTCCCTTTGATGTTTGGGCGTCTCACAGAGCTCCCAAAACACTCACAAGAATCAAGTCCAACAGAAATGAATACAGCAAAGAGTGTGATGATTCAGGGAGTGGTTCTGATTTAAATGAAGATATGTCAGATACTTTTGATGGAAGCAATCCGTCGTTTTCCTTCTTTCTACCCAGAAAACTTCATGCCTTTGGCAGTGAAGGTCGAACCACCACACTACTCACAGATGAACAATCAAAATTCATTCGTGCAAATTCATGTTTCCTGATTCGTAACTTAATCAAAGTTCAAGCAATTGTTGTTGACAAAAACAATAGTGCTTCATCAAACAGAGGCAATGAATTAAAATTAAACATAAAATCTGACGCAAGCACCAAAAAATTGGAAACAATTTCACAAACTTTGCAATCATTCCAAAAACTGAAGGAGACATCAAAAGAAATTAATAATCTACAACAGGACGCCTCCATGGAATCAAAAGAATGTAACAGAAACTTGCTCAGTGAGGAAAAATCAAAGTTGAAGTTTGAAAATAGTGCTTCTTGTAACTGTAGTTCACAGTTTGTTGAAAATCATACCAGCTCACGAAGGACCCAAAGCAGTCGGAAACTTTTCTCAGGCAATGATGCTAATAAATCTTGTTCTCAGATTTTGGTCTCTGGAACTCCAGAAACATCCATTGAAGTAGGTCTCACTCAGATGGGAAATGGCCAAAAGTACTTTAAAGCACTAACTTCAGAAAATTTTATCATACAAACAGGAGAGAATGTTTACATAACAAAAGACAATTCTGAGCTCAAACTTGATGAAACTGTAGCAACATCTATTTTTGGAAGGGCTGATTGTAATGTATTTCACATAGAGCGGCTTTGGCGAGACGAAAAGTAAGCAATGCTTTTATCACCGACTGCATTTTAGTTTTATTCAATCGAGTAGGATGATTTTTTCAATGTGAGAAAAACTTCTGAGTCGGAACGTTTTAAATTACTCATAAGATTTTAGTTTCAAAAACCAAGTATCTTCCTATGCAATATTTTGAATTTATTGTTCTAGAAAATAATTTTGAAAAAGGATGATAAGAGTCTACACAAGTATTCTATTTTTCTCTACCAACTGTCTAAGCTGCAAGTGGCAAAAATCTAAGAAGAGTTACTCAGTTGACTGGTGCTTGTGTGACAAAATCAAACAGTAAAAATTGGTAGTTTGTAGTATGTAGTAGCAATCATGATGGTAATCATGGAATTTCCACCTCCTCAATAAACCTGAAGTCAAGCACAAAGGACCTGCAAAAGTCCTTATGGGGATGTGCACCAAGATTGATTTCTTATTTTTTTCTTGCATTGAACTTGTCTATGGCACTGATCAAAAGTCATCATTTTATGAGCCACCGTTTCCACACGATCCGCGGTTGAAGTTTCGATAATTTTCAAGGGCAGGCTGCAAAAAAAAATTCACGTTGTGTCTATCTGGTGACGATGAGAGTGATATGGAGAAAGAAACTAATTTGGACGGTGAAAAGAAAAAGCGTGCGGAATCCGAGATTAGACTGTCGCTTGGCAGTAGTGGCTGCTAATCACAATGCACCGATACACGCTGAGGTTTTACTGTATGCGATACTTTGTTTACACACAGCCGACCCTTACTCAAGTGCTGAAATGAGACGTTCAACTCTTCATCTCCGCACTACCTTCATTTATTCCAGGAATTATTGAAAGTTTAACCGCGGATTGATCAAAAACGGGGGCTCATAGAATTATGGTGCATTGATAACTTTGATCAGCATCCATGGACGAGTATAATGCAGTAAGAAAATGAAAAATGGATTTTGGTACACATCCCCATTAGAAGTTTACAGGGTCCTTTTATAAAAACTTGGAACAGTTGTAGCTTGATTGTTCGAAATTTCTCTCTCTCTCTCCCCCTCTCCTCTTTTAAAGGAAATAAAAAATCTGGGAATGGTTAAAAAGAAAACTACAAAAGAAAAGTTAGTTATTTCAACCTGATCTTATGTTGTCTTTCCTGACCACTTAACATACTTGGTTTTACTTCATGCTTTACAATTTTGTACCTATTTTTTAACAGATTACTTCTGTATTATCTAACTTCAATGATATATTTTTTCAGCAACGATGGTTATGCATTTGGTTACTACTTCCTGCGACCACATGAAACTTTTCACGAACCAAGTCGGCGATTCTTCCCCAACGAACTTATGAAGTCGCCCCTATGTGAAACAATCCCTATCAGTAGAATTGTGGGTCACTGTCATGTGCTGAACTTGAGCTCGTACTGCAGGGAAAAGCCCGCCTCAGCAGACTTGGACCACATCTTCATTTGTGAATACCGAGTGGACAAAGGAGCTAAAACATTCTCCCGAATACCGAAGCGCAAAGCTTGCTTCAGTTCAGATGAAACGACCGAATTCCATCTGCCTCCATTGAAACCTGTCCGAAATTTTAAGGTATAGCTTTTTACTTAAAATATCTCAGGGAAACTTTTAAGAGGCAATCTCAAATACCTAGTCCAGCTGTTCTGAATTCCTGATTTTTCATTCTATGGCTCCGTGGAATTAGTTTAATGATAGTATATAAGTAGACATATTTGGTGTCTGTGAACTCAACAATCACACACAATTGAAAAAGTTTGTCCCCCTCTTTGTTTTTTCTCTCTCGTAAAAGATTAAGGAATCATTCTTGGAAAGATTTGATGTAAAATAAATGATACAAAAAACTTCATACAGAGAATTTGGTTGCTCAAATGTAGCAGTGTAAAATGAGCCTTATGCCTAAATGATGAAGTTGCTTCTTTTGTAGATCAATGAGGAATGAAGTTCACACAGGTTTTGTAAACATTCACTCTTTTGCATGTTTCAGCCGTACGATGCTACAAGCAACTTTAGAAAGATTAAAAAACAACACAAAACTCTGAAGCACACTGATACCAATGAAATATCTGGCGTCCATTATGTGGGTGGTTCACACAGGAGTACATCTCTGGCAAACTACTCAACTGATAAGATAGATGTAAGAATCAAAATTTATCATTTTCTTTTTGGCAGACTATTCATTCTCAACTAAGTCAAAAATTTGCTTTTTATTTAAGATTTTAAAAATCTACAGTTTGGCGACTTGTTAATGCTTCAGAAAAAATCTTGAAACTGGTTTATTGAAAAATTTCTATCCCAATAAAAGTCAGTTAAATTTCATAATGAACAAAACAACACAGTACAAATGTTGCAGGCTATTTAGTCAGATCAGACATTTCAGCAAATGCCGAGGTAGACAATCAAATTTTGAAAACCTACCAAGTTTTGCATGTTTTTGGTGAATAATTCTTAGTGTTACAAAATAGGAAAAGGAAACAATTAATGACAGTACCGATCTCTCCTCATTTGATGGTCCAAAATTTGTCTCTGAATTTTATGAAAAATCAATAAATTTTGCAAAACATTTTTACTCAATGCTTAAGAAATATGAAAAAATCGTGAATTGGTCAGACATTTAATTAAGAGCTTTTATCTTGAAATTTAGGAACATTTTCTTGCCAAAAATCCTCTAACCTCTAAATCTAGGATAATGTGCACTGACAATCTACCTAGAAATTTGAAGAAATGCCTCTTTTGACTACATATTGGCCTATGAAACATACAACAAAAATCTTCGAGAAAATAGATACTGGGTCAGAGCATTTTTTTGTTCTTTAGAGAAATTGTAGAAAAAGTCTGATAAGACTGTTTGTTTGAAAATTGTTGTACGTCCTTGCATTGTATGACTTGACAGCTCAAGACAATGGAACGTCCTTTAAAACGAGGGGTTCTATTTTGGAACTGCAGTAGCAGAATGAATAAAGTTATATTTAGCTTGAAAATTTGAACAAATATACATCAAATTAAATGCATGTGCCAGTACCATGAGAAGGGTGTGGAAATCAAAGATAAAGAAACGGAAGAATTCCGAAAAACTTGCAATCTAAACCCTTTCTTAGGTGTTACCAATTTGAAAAAGCCCACTTCACAAAAATGTAAGCAATTGCATCAATAGTAAATAGCTGCAAAGAAGCAAAACAGAGGAAATCAAAGATTTTGGTGTCAGATAAGTTACACAATGCAGATTATTTCACGACGGTGACACACTTGATTGACTCGGCGTGTTAATAAATCTATGCACCCTTTCAAATCAAATAATACCAGAGACATGATCCAAGTTTCATTCTAAAGAACAGATTCTGAGCCATGAATTGACCCTGACTGTATGATCATTGATCATTTCATTCAGTCATGAATTGACAGAGTTAATACAACTTTGGGAAGATTCAGCGTGCTGCTTCAAAATTAACAGTGATATTTATTTGTGATTTTTTCAGGAACGAACTCAACAGCAACAACCTCACAGTATTACCTCTAAGATTTCTAGGACAGAGGACTATGCATTCTAGTTACATTCTGTATCCACCCGGTTATATTCTAGTCAAAATATCAAAAGCCACAAGCCTAAACAGTCATGGACATTTCATACATTTTGTGAGTACCATGAAACTTGACCATTTTATGAAATCTTTGTAATCTTTTCAAAAGATGTTGGTGAAAAACTTGACAATTATTACATTCTGGTGAAAAATTTGGAATTTGAATAGGTATAAATTTTGGGTTTGTATCTTAAGGAAATCATTTTTTTTGACACAAATAAACCAAGAAGTATACCTCCATATTATCGCTCTGTTTTTACTATATGTAGTTTTTGGCAAAATTAATACAAATTTTGAATATTACTTGAAGCAACTAATTTATTTTAAGACCTCCATTATTGTATCCTCTAATCGAACGTGCACTGGAAACTAGTTTCTCACATGCCTTTCATCCTGAATAACCGTCAAGAGAAAGTATAAGAAGAAAGCTATTCACCTAGCCATAGAAAAAATACTCATTCTCACTCCAAAATGTGTGCCCAATCGAAACATAACTGTCTCGCTGATGATACTTGAAGAAGTGTTTTCTAAAAATTAGCTCTGCGAAGAACTGATAAGCGGCAACTAACATTGTTTTTTCACCAGACTATCTTCTGCTTCTAACTATTTTTCTTCACTTCTCTGTTGCAGATTCTTTTTGTTTGTTCTTCCCGAACAACACTTCAACTTCTCTACGTGAGACCACTGATCGAATTCAGAGGAAACTTGGGATGCTCTCCTCGCATTTTACAGTAACTTCTGGAGAGTAAACAACTGTCAGATGCTTTAGTTTTCCCACTTCAAGATTGTTTTTTCCTTTTGAGCATTGAGTCAGCTGCTGTTTTATTTTTTTATTGAAACTGACTGTTTGTTAAAAATTTCAAATTATATATTGTTTCCATCTGTTGATTGAATAAAGTTGGATGATTATTTTTCAAGGTTCTTAAACATTTTATATTCATTACATCTACTTTACTCTACTCAACTTTCAAGTTCTATCAATTCAATTTCATTACCTCAGAATGATTTATGAAGAGATTTACTTCCTACCAATAACAAGAAAAGCTAGGCTTGCTTTCTTCTTCTGTTTCCTAGTCTTTGACGACCAGCATAAAATGCACCGAAAAAGTAAAAAAAGAATAATTTTACAGGAATGATAAAACAGAAAGAAATATGCTTATCAGAACTTTCAAAAAATATTTCATTTCACAAAGTGACGAGATACAATAATCTTAATTAATTTTAAAAATCTAAAATTTTAAGAAGAATAAGAAATAAAAAAAAATTCAAGTAAATGAGGAAAAATATTTGAATTATCATCACTGAAAAATAACTTGGGTACCACTGGGGTTCAAGTTTGAACAAATTGGTCTAACAGAGATCTTGATTTCAAAAACTAGTTGACAGTAGACGTTTTCTGCTACTATCAGAAAAACGTGATTGATGTAACATTCTCCACTGGTAGAAAGAAAAAAATACAATAATTTATATATCAAGTTTCAAATCCATCTTAAAATAATGTTTTAGGTCAATTAACAATTGTATACCTCTGATATCTTACATTTTCTGCTTTTGGGCACTAAATTTCTCAAGAGTTAGCAGGAAAGAAAGAGAGAAAGAAAATGGTTATTTTAGAAATGAGAACATTTAAATAATCTTTCTTGAACTCTTCCTGCTTTCCAGATGAGTCTGGCGCGACAACTCTCAAATATCATTCATGTAACAAGAAAATTATCTGTGGGGCAATGGGTCTAGAGCTAGGTGAACAGACTTTGCATTGGTAAAATCACACAAAGATCTCAATTAACACGTCAAGAAACTTCGGAATCCACTCCTGAGCCGCCCATACAAATAATCTGCACAGTTTATAACATGCATTTTCAAATTTCCTGCGTCTGCGGGATGTTTTTCTTCTTAGTAACCAGAGAGAAACTCAAGAAAACCAAAACAAGACTAGAAACAGTCTTGTGAACTATTACAAGTTTTCCCAACGTATGATTTCTATTAATTTAAAGCTTCCGTTTTTGCAACATAAGAAAAAATGAGGAAACAAACACTTCAAGCCTTTTCTCTTATCTTTTAAGGTAAACCTGAATGCAGACAGAGCTAATTACAAACTACACAAATTGCGCACAAAAGAGTGGATTTAAATTTTCTAATTTGCCCATTATGATTCACCTGTGGAAAGTCTGATTGCTTGGCTATAGTAGCTTGCCTGCAACAAACCTGTTGTGGCTTCCTTGCAAGCTTAAATACATCAAGAAGCTAATGAACGAGAAGAAAGCATTTCTGAATTTGCTGGAACAGAATGTAAAGTTGACTCACTCCAAAAATGAAATGCAGGCATCTCTAGTCTTATTAGTACATTAGAACTCGATGGCTAGTGAACAATACCGCCTATCTGCAAACAGACAATTTGGCGGAACAAAGAGAAAACTTCGCACTTTTTGTAATTTTAAGGCTACATTTGCAATTTTTTCATACATTACAGCGCTTCACTACAGAATTGGAGAAAACTACAATCACCAGCTTGCATATTTTATACTGTAAAATGCGGCAAAGTCGCTAACTTATTTTTGCCAAATTGTCAGTTAGGCGGTATCATTCGTTGGTCCTCGAACTGCGATTAACTCTAACATTAACTAATATCAACAGTGTCATTAAAATCATCTTCCTTTCTCTAATCTACATTTTGAGTTTTAGAAAAACTGGCCCATATTCATTCATGCAGGCTAGCATAGCTCTATTGTCAAAATGTTGAGTGGCCCTTCTGAAATTGACTTATTAAGAGATTCAAAGCCATGGCAACTCTTTAATTCTGTGAACACTCTAGAGTTTTGGAAGAAAAGCATGAAATATGTGGCAGTTGCTCCATCAAAATAATGAACAACTAGTGATTTTTGGCAAGGGAAGAACGTTCTTTTCACCAAATAAAATTTGATTCGTTGATTCAGCTAAGACACATCTTAAAACTATCGTGCAATATCATTCATTAACAAGTTCCCTGCCTGGCTGAACAGATCAACCCGCATTCATGGTTTTTAAATAGCTATTCCAGTCTTTTAGTCGTCAACCTATGCCACTAGACCTTCCTTTCCCATCAAGGAAGCTCTTCGATTCTCCAAGTTCAATAAATTATGACATGAGGCATGAGGTCAGTATGCCTATAATAGGAGAAAATAGTGTAAGGTCTTTGAAATTCTGAGGCATGTTCATTTCTCTCTCTTTGTTTTGCTTTATTGCTTGGATAAAAAATAAGTGTCGTAATGGATCACCAGACAAAGTACGAAATTAAGCACTGCAGCACATGTCTCACGTCAAAATTGCATGCAGAAAAAGTTGACCATAATTAAAACTTTAAAAATCAACTTATAAACTAGAAAAAAACGTTAGTTGTTTCTATAATAAGCAGTAAATTCAAACTTCCCCCTCACAAAAAACAATAGTCAACGCAGACCGAATTTGGCATTGAAATCAACCTACACATTACAAAAATAAGTAGAGCTCAGTTTTGAACACATTTTCTTCCTCTTCTGACACAAGATACCTTTCATCTTGTCGAAAAAAAAGTTAGTGCACAGGAAAATTCTTCAATTATAAAAAATCCCGAAATGTTAGTTAAGTGCTTCATTGGACTCAAAAGACTTTGGTTTTATTGTGAGTGGAAGGTGTGAATCAACGTGAACAAAAACCGCTATTTTCTCAGTTATGAGTTGAATTGGGTAATATTTGATGCGTCCAATGTATTCTACATCCAATTTCGATTCAAAGACATACGATCTGGAGCTTAATTTTATACCCTGTTTTGTGGTCTGATCAAACTTTGGGAAATAGCAATGATGAAATTCCTAAAAATTATTTCAACAAACTTTAAAAGATTTAAGATCTTTCCAAATACTGCACGTATTCAAATCATAAAATGAACATAGTGCATACTGTGACTGACAGCGAAAGTATAACACCTCGACTACACTTGTTTGTTCAGCTTGTATTAAAATGTTGAAAAAAAATAAAAATTTTGATTAAAACGATACATGCTTGTTCGATGAGTAACCAACTTCTCATCAAATACATAAAAATAAAAAATAAGAATATAAAACAGGCAGGTTACATAAAATAGTTAGGGGGAAGATCTAACTGAGACTCCCCCATCAATAAAATGGCAGTGGAAGTAACTGATCACAAAACAGACTAAGATCACAAGTCAAAAAGTAAGATCTCACGTTTAAGTGATACTCCACACGATCATTTACACAAACATAATTATGAAGTGTGAGAAAAATTAAAGCAATATTTTCCATAGTTTTGGTGAAAATGGAACGCTTCGGAGAAAGTTCCAAGAATATTTACAAATATTAGTAGATACGTTTATTTTACGTGAATGGATGTTTTTGAGCAACAGAGATCACTAACACTGCTGAGCAGTTGATGTTTCTAGGATTGTACATATGCTTTCATCCAAATTTAGATCAGGATCTTCTTCACGCGTGACAAAGAACCTTACAAACCTTTGCAATTCTTCTTGCAAGTCCTAAAAAAAACAAAACAAAAAAAACACTGCATTAAAGAGGGCCTTCAAAACTTTGTCTCAGTCAAAGCTTTATTATCTCACTGAAGAAATGAATGCTTGACAACATTAATAAGCTGAGAATTTAACTTTTCCCATGATATCGTTCATTTCTTCCTGGACAATCTTGAGTTCTGCTCATTTGACCTATTAACATTGGTCCTTGAGAGCTGCACGAGAGGCTTAAGACAAATGAACCAATCAGGGAAAGGCACAGCCATGGCAATACTCTCTTGATACAGGCACTCTAGTTCAAAACAGGGGTTCAAAGTGTGAATGAGTGAAATCAACTTCACCAAAAGGGATTGAGCCTTCTTATACTTCAGAAATTATACTATTCCATTTTGAAAGTACTGAACAAATTAAAAAGGTACATATACATCACGCTTCAGTGATATGACCTGAATGAAAACGTAAATATTAATGATTTTGTTGTTATGAAAAAATAGCTTCACATTCATGAAGGTCAGATAGACAGAGGGTCATCTACTTGATATGACTTCTGATCCATTCAACACACTTTCCTTTGACAAACCGTTCAAAGTATGCATTTTTTTAAGGTCCAATTTCAATCTAACTGACATTTGTAAAGAAAAACTTGCACAAGAGAACTATTCATTAAGAAAAACTGAACTGCTTAAAATGCTATGGGTAGATTCAAGTTTCCTTCCGCAAGTCAACCAGATTTTTTTTTAAAAATAGATGGCAAGCCCACCTACTATTCAAAGTTTTCTTTCAGAGAAGAAGTGCTTGATTTGAGGAGAGGCTTCTAAATTTAAAGGCTATTTTTCAAAATTGGCAAAAATTTCACATTCCAAAATCATTTTCTGATGAAAAACATGTCAGGATATACATGAATGATGAAAGATTAACCCTCCAAATTGAAATCCTACAATGAGGCATATAGAAGGTTTTTTTTTTAAAATTAGTGTTTAAGAGTAAATTTAAAAATTAGGAAATTACCTGCACTAAATTGGTTCGGTCTGTTTTCTTAATGTACAGACCAATTATTTTTTTAAACTGACTATACAGGTAAATTAAAGGCTCAATGGATTCGACATCTTCTGTTACTTGTACTACTTCAGATAATAACAAGCCGAGAGCTGTTTTAGACACAGTGATGACATTCACTTCTGGAACAACAAATAAAATAATACAATTAAGACAAAAAAATTTCGTCTGGGATGTTGAGCATAATCTAATTCAGTTTCCAGGGATCAACAAAAGCCACTAAATTTTGTTCGGGAGTACTGTACTGGTGAGTTTGTTTCTATGAAAACCAGTGGCACTATCAAGTTTCTCATGATATTTTACGGCAGAAAATGAGCTTAAATCGCAAATCTCTGGTGCATACTACAGTTCCTTTATCCTGCTCTTAGGAATTAACATGGTACATGATTAATTGTTAATGAATAGTTAATTAATTTATAATGAATTCAGATGGTAGTTATTCAGGTTCCTCCTCGTGCAAGGCACACCCCATATCTCTAGCAAATGGAAATAGGAAAATAATACATAGTTTTTCATAAGAGAATTTAGTTTAATCGAAAAGAAAAAAGTTTGATGGTACTCTTCTCAATCATCTGATATGCCATCAAAGACTCAAATGGTATCCACATCACCGAGATCAATTGGGTAATCATTACATTCATCATCATTTGTCTTCTCCAACTGTCTAACAGGGCAAACACCTTCAAAAGATGAGAAAAACAATGCAATTGTCGTACAGGATAGAAGTTCTAATGAAAGAATCATAGTCCAGCCATGACCATTGGTGCACACAACAGTGGTGCTT